GGAGCCAGCTAATGATTATTCTGTGTTTTAATCCTCTCCAAGTTTTAAAAGATGAAAAAAATTGGTGTTAAAAAAGCATGTTACGGTAATTCAGTTTAATATCGCACAAAATATAAATTTAGCCTATTTTTAACGACTAAATTTCACTCCATACAAGATAAAAAATTTTAGCTAACTCCTATATAAATTCTTAGCTCCATCTTAGTGTGTACTAACGTTTGACTGACGTAGACATCATCATGATGAAATTTAACTGTATGTAAGTTAATCACACACTGATACATGCAATCTCATCACAATTTACTTGTATTTTAAGTCAAACATACATTGTTATATATTACCTATACCTACAATATCACTGTGCTTGTATCTCAAGTTATCCGATTAATTAAACACCGCTAAGTGCAACAATTTTTGTTTGGGGCTTGGGAATCCAAAGCCTCTGCTGTGAGAGCAGGGAGTCAACTACTCTCTCTCTCTCTCTCTTGTTTTATAAATATTGGGCTGAAAAGAAAGAAAAACCAACCACCAACCAACCCCTCGTGTGTTTGTGTATGTTCTTGGTTGTCAACCCCTACAAAAAGAGCTTCCCAGGAAGCTTCACACCTTCCTTCATAGCTCTTTTTCTCCCTTCCTTTCTTTCCTTTAATCTTTTCTCCCAAACGCTGCCCAATTTAAAGACAGAGACAAAACCCACCAGCCTCACTTCATCACTCTCACTGTACTCCTCCACTCATACCTCACGGCAGCGCCACCGTTGAAGCAGCAGCATCGCCGCCGAAGCAGCCGCAGCAGGAAAAGGTACATTTTCTCTCTCTGTTCATCTTCTCCTTTTGTCATCTTGTTGTTCAAAGTCTGCCTCGTTTTTCTTGAATTTTAGCTGTTAATCTGTCTAAATGTGACATTTTGATTGATGGGTACAACGTTGTTTCTAGTAACTCCAAGTCCTAGGATTCTTCTACTGTGATTTGGCGGATAGTATGACTTTGTCTCGAGATCTGTTACTTCTGGACATACCAACGGTCCAATTTCATCTTTTGGCTATGAAAATTTAACTTATATCTTCCAATTCTGGAACTTTTGAGCCTCTAAACACGCTTTTTCTCATGGATGGTTTCCAATTTGAAGCCTTTTTTGCTTCAACAATCTCAGTTCATACCCGTTTCTCAGTGCTTTTGACTACTGTGATTTGCCATCCTCGGATTTTTCTTCAGTCTCACTCTCGAAAGAAAGTCGGATTCTGTATTCGGTAGATTAGATTGGTTTTCAACTTCTTCACTGCCATACGAATTGTTTGATTAATAAGATAACCGGCAGACAGGAATTAGAAACCGAAGGATAGGGGCTGAGATGGCTAAATTGCGCTTCTGACTACATTTGGCAGAAAGCACTTAAAAACGCATCTGGGTCGTTGAAGCACTTCTACCAGAAGTGCTTATGAGCGTAAGTGCCCTTTATAGAAGCAGTCCCAAACGAGCCATGAAGTAGTTTAGAAAAACATTCCGTAGATTTTTGAAGTACCGGAGTCTTTTAATGAATGTTTGAGCCAGATTCCCATTACATTCTTTGTATGCTTGATTTGAGCATTTTGTTTCTTTGGTTTCTATCTGATGGGCATTTATATAAATTCACAAGTAACACTTCGATACCTTTTTGTTACTGCAGTTGTGTTCTTACTAATTTCTAGTCCATGGAGCACAACATTTGCCCAGCTTTTACGATGAATCGGAAGAGAAAATCCCTAGAGCAAGATGATTGCATTTCAAGCACCTTTGGTATGGATGAGCTTAATGAAGACCTTCTCGAAAGGGTGCTGTCCAGACTACCAACATCTGCCTTCTTCCGCCTTACTTCGGTGTGCAAAAGATGGAAATCAGTTGCATCTTCTCCCAGTTTTAAGCTTGCCTGCTCTCAGATACCCTCTCGGGATCCATGGTTTTTCATGGTCGATCCCCTTCTCAATCGATCAATTGTCTTTGACTCCTCTGAAAGAAGCTGGAAGAAACTCAATCATCCACCTCTCCTCCAGATGAACTCCAACCGCAATTCCATGCCTGTTTCAGCCTCTGGTGGCTTGATCTGTTTCCGCAATTCACAGGGCAACTTCGTTGTATCCAACCCCGTGACAGGAGTTTGCAACGAACACCCTCCGCTGGATCCATCCCTACGAAATCTCACATTCCATGCCATTGTGATGAGCTCATATCCCAAGTATGATCAGCGCTCTTACAAGCTTGTTGTAGTCTTCGGCGAGTTTCCAAAACTGTCCTTTCGAGTGTATAACTCAAGCACTGCCTGCTGGGAAGAAGAGACCGCCTTGCGTAAAAACTCTGACGATGATGATTCTACAGAATCAGACTCAAACGATGACAGTGCCGTTTACTTCCTTAGCAAAGCTGGAAATGTAGTGGCAACCAACATGCAAAGAAGCCCATCCAAGCAATACTCATCCGTCATCACTACCAAAAATGGCGAGGAGACACTCCATTTCCTCAGCTCATCAGGCTCCGTTGTAGCCTGCAACCTGACCACCAAGTGCTTCTCGGAGTACCCCAGGTTACTCCCGGTCTTCTTCGAGTACTCCATTGACTTGGTAGAATGTGGAGGCAGAATGCTGGTGGTTCTTCTCTCAGAATTCTTCGAAAGCGCGAGCCTCAGGGTGTGGTGCTACAATGAGGAAGCTCGATCGTGGCAACAAATCGCAGCAATGCCTCCGGCGATGTCACACGAGTGGTATGGCAAGAATGTGGACATAAACTGCGTAGGGGCTGGTGACCAGATACTGATCTGCTTAAGCTCTACCGAGATTTCGAGCTGTGTTCTGTGTGACTTGACTGCCAATGATTGGATTGAATTGCCCAAATGTTTTGTGGATGGTGAAGCCATCAAGTTCTTGTCTGCCTTCTCATTTGAGCCAAGGATTGAGGCTTCTATGTGATTTGAACATTGTGTTTTGGGATTTTATTTTATTTTTTGCTTCTTATTCTTTTAGCGTTTGTGTCTTACATTGTATTGTTCTGTATTGCATTATTTTAAAGCCAAGTGGAAAATTGGCTCTGATTTTATTGTACAATCGAAAATTGATTTTAGATTGATGAGGTAGATCAATGTAATAGACTTCCATTTATTGGCTTTGTAACTCATGTTCTAGTTGATTCTCTCTTGTTAAATAAGGGAAATGTTTCTCCTCACCCTTTTTGCTTATTTATTTTAGTAGATCGATATGTTAGTGGATTTGATAGTTAATTGTTAGGGGGGGGAGAGGAATTGGTGGGATTGAATCTGCATCATGGTGCATACCGAAACGAACTCAAATAAGGTAGCTAATGAAGGACAAAAGAAAAACTCAAAACATAAAAAAAACCCAAAACATAAAAGCACAAAAAATAAAAAATAAATCGGAAAAGCATCATGAACACAATGCTCGTTAGATACTGGTTGAAAAGCATTTTACTCGAGCGCTAGACTCGATCGCATTTATGTCTCTTCATTTCACGTCGATGGATACGTATGTTTGCAAGTTGACGTTTAGCTAGACCTATCTTTAAAGCTCTATGCTAGAAAGTTATCAAGTCTGCCAACCGACTTGAGCGGTCAGAAAATAATTTAAGTTTTACGCTCGTCTCTCCTTGTCGGTAGAAAATTCAGGACTATGAGCGGTCGTCTTCGTTCTTGTGGTGGTGTTCTGTCATATAGATTCCTTGGACTAGCTTGCAAGCCTAATAACCTGGTCCTCTCATCTTTTCGTGGGCTTTCTCTAACCCATCTATTGGGCACAAAAACAACTACATATTCTAATGGGTTTACAAGGATCTTGTGTTAACAGGAATGAAAACCAAACGAATTCAAATAAAATAACGTGAAAAGAAAGAGAAAAAAAAAAAAAAACCATAAACAACTTGCTACATGTGATAACTTTTTGAGTGTCAAACATTGAATTAGTCATTCAGTATTATAGTCTGATCGTATTCCTCTTCATTTGGAAGTGTGAGGTCTTACTTGGGTTCGAATCTCGTGGTTGACGAATTCAATACTAAATTAGGTTGTTCATTATATGCCTTGACCAAACTCTCTTCTCCCTTAATGTAAAAAATATCGATGTAATAAAAATAAAAAAAAATTAAAAAAACATTGAATTAGATGAACCCAACCCTACCACTTATCCTACCCACCAGGCAACCCACGCAAGTGACCACGTGTAAAACAAACGACGTTGATGAAGGTGTCGTTAATGGAGTAATGAGGAGGCGTGGGCACTGGGAACGCAGTGACGTGGAATGACGGTTGGAATGTGAGACGGCGCGCAGGCGATCCGATTCGCACCTTCGTCTCCCAACGGTGACCTCCTCTCCTCGCCAAGCCAAACTCCAGAAATATAAGAAAAATCCGAAACCAAAAACGCAGAAAAATAAAAAATCTGATATGATACAAACCGATTTAACCCGAATCTGAAAATGGAAGTCAAATTCAAAGACGAAAAGAAATTAGAGCAGCGATTGATTGGAGGAGCTCCCCAAGGACGTTTCCAAGAAGCAGAAGTTCGAGGACGCCGTCGCCGCTCTTAATTCGCTGCTCCGGGACCACTACTCCTCCGCTTCTCCGTCGCTGCAGAAACTGTACTACGGCGTCGTTTGCCGGGTCGCCACCGTGTTGAAGGCCCGGTACACCTCCCCTGGTTTCTGGGCCGCCGGACTCGCCCGCTTTCAGCTCTCCCATTCCCTCGTTTCCGACCCTTCCAAGGTGGCCCATTTGCTCGCTTGCATCGATGAGGCACGACAGGTCGTTCATCAGGAAAAGGACCCCCCGCAGCCGTCGTCTTCTCCGAATCAAGGTATATAGTATGACTATCCTTTACAAGGAGATGTACAATCATGTAAGCTCCTCAAACCAAACTCCGTCTATGCGAAATGCAGTTAGCTTCCCTGTTCACATGATTGTATTTGACCTGTTGAAAAATGGTCATGAAGGATCATTAAGCGCAGGTCCAAGCAATGAGGAGTCAGCAGAGGAATGCTTCGAGGAATCACTTTCCAATGCCTGCAAGTTCTCATGGCTTCGGTGAAGATGATCAAAATTTGTGGGGAAGCTTCAGTAGTGGTATGTTGATGGTCGACATCACGCTTTTAGCTTCTACAGAATCCCTGAAACGATAGGTAAGCTACCTATTCAGCAACATCTCTATGATATTGTCCTAGAATTAAATTTTCCTAAGAAACAAGCAAATAATGTATATTAAAGCCAAACAACAAACCTCATGAGAAACCTGAAGGTGACCTCAACTGACGCTCTTTAATTTGGCTCACCTTTGCTCAAGTCTTACTATTTTCTGCGAAAACTTAAGCAACTAAGATAAGAAAATTATGCGCCGTTGAAATTTGATATCAAATTTGGTACATACATATGAACAGTTACTAAAAAGAGCTTGATAAATCAACAAGATGAACGCATGATATGTTTCCCTAGATGGTTTATTGATATCACTACTTTCACTCGGTTGTTCCGCAAAGAAATTAGAAATGAGTAGCTGAAGTTAAATAATCCTTGAAATATATAAAGGAAGACAATTTACCTTTTAAAAGAAGATTAATATGTATGCCTAGCTCGCAAATCACCAGTTGATCCACATTACTCGTATCTTTTGAAGAAGAAAAATAAGAAAATTAAACAAATTAAACAAATATGATGATAGCATACATACATGTGTAAATAAGATAGATAGAGCTCAATTACCTGTATTATGAGATTTTGATGTTTCGGATGTGAGAAATCTTGGGCCACTCCTCTCCACTGTCTTGTTTACAGCGCTCTGAAAGCATGGGACAATTCTCAATTGTAAAATCCTGCAGTGGTGTTTTGCAGAGGAAGTCTGGCAGTGTTTTTATGCCTTGACAGTCCCAAATTTCTAAGGAGGAAAGGCATGGCATGATTGAAATTTCTGAATCCTCTTTGTTCCACCCTTCCACGCCTACTTCCCACTCCTCCAACGCTAACATGTCCACAATTGTGAATTCTTTCAACTTTGGAAAAAATGAGGTGGATGATGATGATGTCGAGGACGTTTCATCTGAGTCAACTATTCCCAAAAATTCACCACCAATCTTTTCCACCTTCTCCATACTCCACAAAGTCAGCTTTTCAAGGTAGGGCAATTTCCCAAGAGGAGGCAAAAACTTGCATTCACTCCATTGATATAGAAAGATGATTCTTAAGTTGCGCAAAGACATCATCCAATTGGGGCAGGTGGTGCCTGAATGATAAGAAATACGTAAGGATTCCAGATTCTCGTGCGGTCGTAAAGCATTTAGTATTTCTATTGTGCTCTTTGTCTGCTTGTAAAAGACATCCTTAGAGTAAATTTCAAGATGAAACAATTGCTTCAGGTCCCACAACTGTGCCTTCTCAAGCTCCCTCTCGTCATTCACATTCCCCTTCAATTTTATGGTGAGACTGCCCTCAAGGTTCAAGACTCTCAGATCTCCCACTTGTAATGCTGCTCTGTCTTCATCCTCACCCCAAACCACAACACACTCATCAATTCTTTTCAATTTTTTTAATCTGAGAATTCCTTTTGGCAAGAACTCCAGCTTATCACAGAACCCAACATACAGGTGCTTTAAGCTAATCAACTTTCCCATGTTATCAGGTAGTTTTTCAAGTGACCAGCAACCAATGAGGCTCAAGGTATACAAATTGTACAACTCACAGATACTGTCCGGCAATATCCCCAAACCAGCATTCCATGACAAATCAATATGCCTCAAATGTATCAATTCACCAATTTCCTTTGGGACTTCACTTATGCCACAGTAACTCAAATTTAATGTCCTAAGACATTTCAGTTGTAGAATAAAATTTGAGTCTATCTCAGCAATCAATGAATCCAAAAATGTGAGTGAACGTAGGTTTTTGCAATTGTAATATGCATTAGAAGGTGGGAGAGACTCAGCATGTTCCGACTTTAAGGTCAAATGACGAACCTTTTCACCCAAAACCTCAATTTCATTGTCAACACCCTTAGCATCGATGATCAAACATTCGTTCTTGGTGAGAGATTGCACAAAGTCATGAACGATGTCATGCATTTTGCAACCTATAATTTTACCACTAACATCATCTTTCTCCAAATCTTGAAAAAAAGACCGTGCTACTAAGTTATCAAAAAATGCTTGACCAACTTCTCCCTCATCTTTATTTCCTTTGGAATTAAGATAATCTTGTGCCATCCAAAGATTAATCAACTTAACCCTCTCAAACTCATGATCTTTAGGAAAACAAGCACAATACAAAAGGCAACATTTGACTGCTGGGGCCAAATCATAATAACTTAGAAAAAGTGGTTGAAAAACTTCTTGCTCCACCTCTTCTCGATCCCATATCTTACTATTCAAGACATCTAGCCATTCCCTCCGTGTTTTCTTATTGTACATGAGACCACCTAAAGCTTTTGCAGCAAGAGGTAAGCCCTTGCATTTCTTCACAATATCCTTACTAATATCTTCAAACGCCTTGGACTCATCTACTTCTGTATTAGCAAATGCCATGTGATTGAAGATTGATAAACAATATTCTTCACGCAACTCTCCCAAATTGATCATTTCATTTTCTGCTCTCATCATATCAACGACCTCATGCTTTCGTGTGGTCACCAATATTCTACTGCCATGAGCACCATGCTGAATTAGTGGTGCCCTTAAATTTTCCCACTTTTTACAATCGTGGGTCCACACATCATCTAGGACAAGGAGAAACCTTTTGCCCTCGAGGGATGTTGACATATATTGCAAGGCATCATCTAACTCATTTGAGTTTGGGGCATTATCACCGCATATAGCTTTGGCAATCTTAATCTCATCAAAAGGATCTGAGACACAAACCCACACTCTCTTTTCAAAATAGGCTTTAACCTTGTCATCATTATAAACAAGTTGGGCTAGAGTTGTTTTTCCCATTCCTCCCATCCCTAGAATAGGGATGATAAGGAGCCCCCTTCGATCTTCTCTACCATTACTCAACAACTTTGTTATCAGAATGTCTTTTTCCTTTTCTCGACCAAATACCTCTGACACAACGACAAAAGACGAAGTCTTCTGTCGTTCAGGTAATTCTTGAATGCCTCTTTCTGTGTGTTGAAACCCATACCTTTGTCTTTGCTCATTGATCCTACTTAGTTTACCATTCAGATCTTTTATCTTACTCGCAATGTCACGGCGAAAAATCACCTCTTTGGTTTTGCGAAAACAAAAGCAGCTAGAGAAAACAGAGAAAGTTACCTTCTTCTTCTTCTTCTCAGGAACATGAGCATTTTCACCTTTTCGTTCTTGCTTCTCAACCTGTTGTCTCAGCATGTCAGTGTTCCACTCGTCCAGCACATCCACCATCTGCAAGGATATGTCTTTGAGCTGATCTAACCAGATCCTCACGCTGCCGTCCTTGACCTGCCTTTGCTCTGCATCTTCGAGAACGGCTTGAATAGCTCTGAGATTGCCAGCAAATTCTTCAACATCTTTTTTGGCGTCCAAAACAAGTTTCACCTCTCCATCAATGTACTCGTAAATTGTTGAAGACAGCCGATCCAGTAGCATGGAGATGATCGCGTCAGCCATTTTTTCAGCCTCCACAATCTGTTGACAGTGGAAAAAGAAATGAAGAAGAAGAAATGTAGAATGGTTTGTGGCGTTGGCTCTCTTCCATCCAGCTTATATGATTATTCCAAGTCCATAAGTTCAAGTAAAGTGAATGGGAGTATTATTGCAGAATGGTTTGTGGCGTTGGCTCTCTTCCATCCAACTTATATGATTATTCCAAGTCCATAAGTTCAAGTAAAGTGAATGGGAGTATTATTCCGAGTCCATAAGTTCAAGTAAAGTGAATGGTAGTCTGCCGTTTGCTGCTATATTCTGTCGAGGCCAACTCCAACTTCGATGCCTTCATTGACCCCACCATTTATAAAATAAAAAAAACAAGCGTTTGTTTATTATTTGGTAATTTGTATTTATTTTAACCCTTTTTTTTTTTTTCTTGGCTCGGCACTTGGTCATTTGATGCCATCAACCAAATGTCACTATTAATTCAATTATTATTACATAAGGGAATAAATACATAAAATGTTAATGTACCTTAATTTGAACGTTTCAATTAAAAGTAATAAATTTCTGTAAAAGGAAAATCTACCGTACTTTATTACACTATATGGTAACAGTAATATTTAAGATATATTACATTTATTCAAAATTATATTTAGGATTATACAATCATGATAAAGTTTAAGCAATGACAAGGAATAGCGTGAATATTACTATAACAAAATTCGCGGTTACATTGCTATTGTCCTAGTACATTATCAGAAAAGATTTTTGTACTTCAACATAATACGCAATTGCATACAAATTAACGTTCAAATTAAATAATTCCGAGTCTTACTTTTGTTATTAAAGTACCGTAGACACTAAACAACGTGATTGCATTGCAATATAAATAATTTAAATTAAATATTGTGGACGGAGGAAAAAGCCAATTAGAGGCAAAAGCCCAAAGCTTTTTCTGTAATCGTGGCGCAACCTTTGAACAGAAAAATGAAGATTTACTTCACAAAATATATATTGTAACTGTGTATTAGTATGTGGGCTTTGGACATGGAAATCGCCGCCTGTTTCTCCTCCTCCGCCGGCTTTGCTGCCAAATTTGGATGCCTGTACGATCACATCCCACTTCACGCCCATACCCATATCAACGGCTATGGTTCCTTCTTGGGATTTCGCGGGAGTAGCAGAGGCAGCAGAGCAGTGGTCGCAGGCGGGTCAGCCTCGGCCTCCGCCAAGAAGCTGGCCGTCAACGGATACGCCGGTCCCAGTTCCACCACTAGCAGGTTAACCTACACTTGGAACGATTCCTGTCTGGTGATTCCTCCGCCCGCCGGCAAGAAGCCACGCGCCATCATCAAGTTCTTGGGTGGCGCCTTCATCGGAGCTGTTCCAGAACTTACTTACAGGTCCCCGAAGTTTTTCATTCTTTGCTGTTTTGGGTTTTGTAATTTTCTTTATTTAAATTTGAGTCCTTCAAGTTCATGTGGATTATATGTCGCAGCTACTTAACTGAGCTATTGGCAAAGGATGGGTTTCTGGTGATATCAGTGCCGTACAATGTGACGTTTGATCATGTCCAAGCTTCCCGGCAAGTGTATGACAGGTTCAACGGCTGCTTGGACAACATCTTAGCTTCTGGACTGCCCAATTCCAATCTATCAGCTGCCCAACTTGCTCGACTGCCCGTGTTTTCGGTTGGCCATAGGTAAAATTTAGAGCCTTTTCACAAGGGATAAAAGCGGTTTCCAAAAGCACTTGCTAGGTGCTTCTTTACGCAGCACTTCCAAGTCTTTCTAGGTAGAACTTGGATTTTTGATAAAATTTTTAACATTGTTTCCAACAAGCGAACCACGTATATGCATAGTCGTTTTCTACTGAAGGTATCTCAAACGGATCGTAAGTTGAGTGGTTTCTAAGTTCATTATCAATGTATCCTGGCAGCAATGTGACTGAAATTTCTGTGTTTTGAATATTTTCTCTAGCAATGGTGCCCTTCTTCAAGTACTTGCCGGGAGCTATTTCTCTGATAAAGTCCCTAAGGTGTGGTTTGTTTTGGAAAGTCCTTCGTTTTAGGTGATTTGAGAAATTCATTCGGTTTGACAAGCAATATTTGTGTCCTTTGCTAAGGCCAATGCTATAATAGCATACAACAATAGACCGGCAACGGAGGCCGTGCCTTACTTTGAGCAGGTAATTCATCTGTATGCCGTGCTTCATATAGTACATTAACGTTTAGGAAATATTGTTGTAAAAGTGTATGATTTGATTGTGCAGTTAGGTCCTTTAGTTAATCAAATGGTGCCTCTTATAGAAGCATCTCCAGTTTCTTCAGTGGCAAGGACTGCCTCAGGTAGCGTTCTGACTTGCTTTCATTGTATTTATTTTCTATGATTCTGTTTATTCTTTTCTCTAGTTTTCTGTATGGATTGCATTTTTGCTTACTTATTGGATTACGCTTTCCTTTCCCTTTGTTAGCTAGTCATAGTACCCTACAAAAGCCTGAATGATGATATACTTTCAGAACATTTAACATACTTTCAGTGCAAGTCAGAGAGAAAGAGAGTGTTGATACTTTATGTTTTTCTGTATTGGTTCATTTTCTTTTGGTCAATATGTATTGGTTCTTTCTTGTAAATTCAAACTCGTAATTATTCTGCGATGTATGGCTACCCTGGTGGCAAGCCATAGATCATCATGTTTTCCTAACTGCCTCCGCGTTGCATCCTTTGAATGCCTTTGAACTGAACTACTCAATTTGAGTGGTATACCATATCAAGGGTGGTGTACTGAAACTTTCCAGCGTTCCCACTTTTCACCACTTCCTATATATAGGAGATGCATGGAAGGCGCTGATTGGTGCAGCTGGAGCTATGCTACCAGACAATCAGGAAACTCTAAGTTCGGTGACTAAATTTGTTGATCAGTTGCCCTCAGTGCTAAATGAGGTATCTTGTTGGCTTGGCAGAAATCGTTCCCTTTATTCTGCAACAGTTAATATTGGAGACTATTTCTTCGTATTAGTCTCATTAATTAGAAGAAAAAAAAAAAATCATAATCTTTCTGTCAGGTAGCACAAGGGATATCAGAGTTTAAGCCAACACCCTCTGAAAACCGTGATTTTTGTAAGAGCTCGTACAATGTCAAACACACGCTACTGGTACGCATGATGTCGCACTATTCTGAATCGTCATGCAATGAATGAAAATGATCTGTTCTCTGGTGTAACTATTATTTGCATTTTTAGGTGAAGTTCAATTTTGACGCAATTGATGAGACAGATACTCTTGAAGAGACGTTAAAGCCTCGCGTGGAATCTATTGGCGGAACACTAGAAAAGGTCGAAATAAGTGGTAACCATATTACTCCATGCGTACAGGTGAACTTAATTCTAAGCTTTATTTCGTTTTAAAGTTTTAATGCTTTTGCTTCTGTAAATTGTGGATTCCATAAAAAATTGTTTCCATATTTGATGGAATCCACAATTTTGCATGAGGCTGGAAGTTTAGAGGTCATTCGTTTACAAAGTTGAAAGCTAATTTAAACAACCTTTCTGACCTTTCAACAAATCGCTTATGCTGGTGCACTCTTTTGAACATATTTTAGTTTTGTGACATAAATTGGTCGAGATCAATTAAATAATCTTAAGTAAGAACTGTCAAGTTGATTAATTACTCAAGTTGGTTTAGATTTCCGCACTAAATATGCAACTTCTTATGCTTTTAACTAAAGTTCTTTACCTTGTTTGTGCTAGTATGCTAGCAATCGTAACTAGACCTTTTCTTCCCCAAATCTATGTCATGTTAAAGGGGAATCGATTGTGATAATCGAATTGCTAGTCACACCAAAACATGCCAAAGAGCCCGGGAAACGGATCAAGAAATCACATTTGACTTGTATCTTCATTCATATCCTAACTTGAACCCCTTATGGAGTCTTCATGTCCATATCGCTGTGAGCTATTAGGAAACAGTCATCTCAGGTTTCCAGCATTACACAATTTGCATTATCATAAGAAGTTGAGAACTATGCATCTCCTTTCTGCTTGTTTGTCTTAGAAGCTTTCGGTTTATGGTCATCATGCGTCGTAATCTCTTCTCTTTTCATTTTTATGGCCTGATCAGGAACCTAAGTGGCAAGCAGGTTACGTTTACACTCCAGCAGATGCTATTGCTCAGAGTCTTAAGATGCTTTCGCTAAATGACGTTAGAGTCCTTTCGAGAACTATAAGCGACTGGTTCAGAGGCTTTGAAGATTGAGCTGCCATGGCTTCAGTGAATTCATGTTGTTAGTTAGAGTCCTTCAGAGAAAATTCATGTAAAGTTTATGCTACTTTTGAATACATTAGTTGGGCCACCAAGAGAGCAGTGTCTTATCTTTTACTGGCGTTGGCTTGATATTGTTACAACAGTAATGTCACACTTATCGCATTTTTTATTACATTTGTACTTTTTCTTTAGTACAGGGCGGTACAAACATAGTATATAAAACGTCATAAATGTTGCTTCTGTTTTTTTTTTTTTATTTTTTTTTTATAATTTTTAATCAATTTTGGCAAAAACTGAAAACCATCACAAATCTATTTTTGTGAAACATTTTATCTCAATATAAAGCTTTGTAAATTTCATGGACACTCGAGAAATGTTCTAGCCAACCGACTATTTTAGCCAGATTCAAAGCTTCGCTAATATTTATAACCTAATGTTTCATTTTCAAAATTAAAAGTTCAACCAAAAATGCATTTTCAATTAAGTGGTGATCTCTTTAAAGGGCTTATAACATTTCTCTATTTTGTCGATAAAATATTCTTGGAGAAAACTCAACATTCGCATTTTTGACAATAATTGTGGAGCTATTGCTGACGATTTTTAATCGATTTTGTCAAAAATCATCACAAAACCTATTTTTGAGGAATGTCCGACCATAAGCTTCTTAAAATTTTAGGACGACATTATGAAGCAGGTCGACGAAAACACTACTATGGCTAATTAAGTTCAGAGCTCCACTTTTTTTTTTTTCAAGCTTAAAAATTCAACGAAAAATACTTATATCGTAAAACTGCTTTAAATGGTTTATAACGAAATCTAAGACCTTAGATTGACTGTGAAACAAGTTTGGGGGGCTGTCCGAAATGTTTCAGAACTAAAATTGCATTTTGAAATATTGAATTACAAGAACTAAGGAGTTCAGGATGTCGAACTACATTGATGGTTATAAGATTTAGACTACGATCTTCTCTTTCTTTTTGTGGTATTCAGCAAGAATCATGCCTGATATACAGAAGTGGCTTGCAAGATTAATGTGACCATCTTTCCAACTTGAGGGCAAGGCAAGCCCATTGTTTGATTTTAATTAATTATGCATGCAACTTCTGAAACCTTTTGCATGCATGTCACCAACAACCCCTTTCATGTGCCCACATTTAAGCTTTTTTCACTCTTGAAGGAATCGGCAGGTGGCTTCTCCACAATAGTCTACTTTTTTGGAAAATGAGAAGACTCAAAAATGTGTTTTAATCTTCCTATAAGCACTATCGTGTGTTTTTTCCATGCCAAAAATTAAACACAAAACATATCATGTGAATACGGACCTGGATTCATCATTAACTACTAAGCCATCCGTAATGGTTGTATGACCACAAAAACAAAAATGAAAATTTGTGTTCAGCTAGATAGATCATAAAAATTCATCTCAATCTTCTTGCAAGAAAAGCGGCAAAGTGTTGTTTGGGAACAACTTGTCAAACATTTTGACGATGATAACGATGAAGATTGATGGTGGATAACTAGATAAAGATGATCTTATACAGGACTAGTTTCTTAAAGAGATTTTGCTCAACTATACCAAAAGCGAGATAGGATAATGTTCTCCTATTAACAGGACCAGTTTCTGAAGGAGATCCGCTCAACCATAGCAAAAAATGAGATAGAATAATGTTCTCCTATTTGCCGTTTTATGATCACTTAGTGACTATTTGGAATTCAGTAGGTTTGTTTTTTTATTTTTTATTTTTTATTTTTTATTTTTTATTTTTTTATTTTTTATTAAGGAGGACAATTGGTGACAAACCACTATTATCTACCCTTTTCGGGGGACAGGAAGACTCACAGAGGCATTTCAGTCTCCCCTGGCCACAAGTCTGGCTTCTACACCAGCGGCGGGTTTCGAACTCGAGACCTTGGGTTTTTAGTTTTAAGGAAATCTCATAATCTGTCATTTACCACTGGACTACTAGCTCGCGGTTTGAAATTCAGTAGTTTAAATTTGTCTTTTCTTTGGCTCCACAATATAAGTGTACGGGCTTTATGATCGATAATGTGGTCACAAAACAGTCAATACAAGTGAAGCAAACCCCGTTAAATAGGAGAGATTCTCTCATGCAACCAAATTTAGTCATAAAAACATTTTTTTTCCAATAAAATTTGTCATGTGTTTAAAAGGAGTATTATTCGTTTAATAAACAATTCATACAAGATCAACTCATTATATGCACTTCGTAATGTATTTCAACGATATTTCAGTACATTATTCATAGATCATCCTTACAAAAAAATTAGACAAATTCAAATTCATTAAGATATTCATTTATAGGGAAAAATGAACGAATAGAGATCTAAAAAACACTAAATTTAATACAACGGTCATATGATTTCAATTTGGATGATTTTTGATAGATTTGATTTTTGAGGTAAGGCATTAAAATAGATTGTTAGATTAATGTTGAAGTGCATTAAGAAGAGACTCCGTAAAAACGTGTGTCAAAAGACGTGTTCCTAAATCCTGAACATGATATTAATATATAGTTATATGTACATATATACGTGTGTGTATATGCATATGGCTATACTCACACGTATGCTGGTTATGGTCGGTAGCGTGAGGATTAAGGATTGGCTTTACTTGGTTTTTATTGATTGCAACTTGTGGTTTGAAACCATGACTGCTAAAATTAACTCCTTTGAATTTAGATGCTTTTTTTTTTTCTTCTGATAACAGTAGCAAGCTTCTTTCTTTCCTTTCTAGAACACATTGTCACGTACACGGTACACTCACTCTCTCTATCTCTCTCTCTCTCTCTTCATTTCTTATGCTAACCGTTCGCCTTTATGTCCTTGCCTCTCAGTAACTCAGTGACTCAGTCTCATCACAGAGAGAGAGAGAGAGGAGAGGGAGAGAGGGTAGGTTGTTGGTGTTGATGACAGATTAAAAATGTTATGGTCCACCGCCACCCCCCACTTATAGCGGAAAGTGACCATACAATTTGGCGGTTAAATGAAAATGGGAGATCAGCTGCAGCAAACTGTGTCACTCAAGAGGCTACCAGCAGCAGCAGAAGCTACTTGCAATTGCATGCAGCTCCCACCCTCTTATCTCATGGGAGGTCCCTAGCTAGCTAGCTATCCAAGTCCAGTAAATATGAACAATTTTCATTTGATTTACCACATTAAATACCATTCGGCCATTATTTCACACGATTTAAATATAAAGCAAAAGTTAATTCATACGATAAAATATCGAATATAAATAAACTCCTCAAGATAGTAACACAACTATATAGTCATTATTTTGGGACCAACCAATTTTATAGTTTTGAAAGGTTATTACTTAATAGAGATGTGCAAAAAATATTATCTTTTGACTTAGTTATCATTAATAGAAATTATATGAGTACAAAACTACTAATAGAGCACGTCAATTTTCAAGATGAAACATTGAAAAAAAAAAAACGCCTAGGCTTTAGAATCCAGTTGATGTATGCATGTAGTACTCTTCTCTATAAATATGTTTGAGAATCTTAAAGAAACATCATGGCTGTACTAAGAAGATGTCCATATTGATGAGGTATTACTTACTTTTAAATTTAAAAACATGGTATCAACTCTTAAAAATAAAATAGTGTTCCAAACAATTATATGAACAACATAAATAAAACTAATATAAGCATCCGGAATCACATAATATTGTCCGATTCATGGAGATATGAGAAAGATTAGTCTTTTAGCTCATCTGAAACAAATATTGCATATTTTTGTATTTATTGACAATGTTATTATTATACAAAGGTACATTTCCTTAATATTGAACTTAAAAAAAATTGTACAGTATAAAGTTTATTCATTTACATAATTGATCCAAGTCGAAGATGATATTGAGGATCTATAGAGAAGTTTATGGTCATAGAACTTTTGCAAATCCTGACTCTAACCTTGAACTATTCTTTTTATTTTCAATTGTCTATAAATAATGAAAAAGATTTTAGAATTTGACAATAATATTTTTATGTATTCAATACGATTATTGGTGTTACATACGTAAAGTAATTGTATTAAATAAATATATTCATGTAAATTATATTTATAGTTATATTATTAATAACGTGCAAATATTATAGCAAATCCGTCATATTTTATTCAGGTCTTTTATTTTATGAAGGGGTACAAAAAATCTTTTTATTTTTATTTTTTATGAACAAATGATATAATCTATATTAAAAGAGAGAATATGAGTAAATTTAATCTCATAATAAACTAATAATAATATCATTCAAATTCGTCTTATAAAATAATTAAATTTAAAAATTTTCATTTATAAGTAAAAACGGTAATACAAAATGACAAAGGTTGTTTTCCGTTTAGACTTTAGACACAAAGAAAATCCTCTTCTTTTTTATGTTTTTTGGAAAATACCAAAATGGTCAATTAGGGCTATTAATGGATGCCGCAGGCTTTTTCGGCCAGGTGGGCCAGGCCCATTTGCTGCCGATTTCATGTTCCCTTCGTCGTTTCCCACGTGGCAACCTCTGTCTGATTGGAGCCTTGGACCCCAGCCCACATGGCCGTTTGATTACGACCCGTCACATCATACCCGTCAGTGTTCACAGGCGGTCCCACAGTTGTTTAAGCTGAGAACAATTTCCGTATTGCGTTGTGCACCTCCACGGTTCCAACCGTTCTTCGTGGAAATGGGGAAATAAGTACTGAAAACATTGTAAATTTTAGACATACTAGTTGGCAATAAAAGAGATTTATTTCTTTTGTTCAATTTGATGCAATTGATATTGAAGGAAGAAAAGAGTAAGAATTCTTCACGATTTTAGCTACGATTTACTACATTCTTGTTTCTTAAACAAGAATTTGAAATGACTTTGTTACTGTAAAAAAAATTTGTGTATATTATACGAACAATGTTAGTATTGTTTGTCAATTGGATCCATTGCAGTCCAATTGCTCATTCTGTAATTCGTACATCGCTTATGCACATGTGAGTGATCAAAGATTGAAGATTACTTATGTAACGCGTCATTTGTGTATACCCATATGGATGTTCAAAGACGGAACTAGTTTATGGCTAGGATCAATTGTAACTCTCCCTAACATTTTGGTTGACATTTTCTTATGTAAAGTTTGCATTAATTCTTAATTTCTTTTAACATAATATACAGTTGCATTATGGTGTAGA